GATGATGATGATGATGATGATGATGATGATGATGATGATGATGATGAAGTTTGAACAAATCGAAGCATGTTTTAAAATTATGTCATTTTAACAACTTATGAAATACCAAGTCTCCACATACTTTTTTGTTTGTTTTTCTTTTCGCAACTACAGTGACAATGATGATGATAATGATGATGATGATGATGATGATGATGATGATGATGATGATTTATGCCAATGTGTTAGTGTTTTGTCTATCGCTTACACAATGACAGCTTGCACTGAATGCTTTTTAGGAAGTTGAAGTTGTTATAGAATGCTATCAGGTCTGCTTGCTTAATGATATATTATAGGTTGTAAAGCGCATTGAGATATATACAGTACAAAGTCTGACTTCTTGTACTATTATAGGCCCTACATCGCCAAAAGTAACAGAGACAATCTTCAGCAACAACAACAACAACAACAACAACAACTACAACAACAACAATAACAACAACAACAACAACAACAACAGCAACAGCAACAACAGCAACAACAGCAACTATAGCAACAGCAACAACAAGAGTACTAACTACAGCAAATATTATGTCTCGCTCCACAGCTCTGTTCGTGCTAGGTTTCTCAGTGATCGCTGCCTTCACCATGACAAGAGCCGCCAAGAGGCTGCATATGGTAAATCCAACCTCTTTTCTTTCTTATTTCTCTGAAAAAACCTTTTCGCTATCATCGACACAATTTTCAAGTTTTTTGTTGACTTCAACTCTGCTTATCAGGGCCTATCCGTTTTTTTAGAATGTAATTTTGTCACGCCTCCGTCCTCGTCAAAATAATAAAATCAAAGAAACCGGCATTTTTCTATCCACTGGGGAAATTATTTCGAATTTTCATTTTTTGGCTTGACACCTTTTATATCCATTTAAATACACATTCATGCTGGAATTTTACTGAAACACTTAGATTAAAGGCACAAAAAATATAGATTTGTGTTTCCAAGAACTCTCACGTTTTGGAAGTCACCAAATTTTGGCGGCCATTTCTCGCTATTTTTACTACAATCTCCAGGCGACCCCCACCTTCAATCTCGAATATCTTGGCTTTTGTTCTTGAAATAATGGGTACTTTTTTGTCAAAGGCAATCAAATGAACAAGCTTTAAGCTGATACCAAGATCTCCATATGCCCAAAAATTGACGATCTCCTAATTCCACCGTGCCGGGTCACATTTAGTAGGACCAATCCGCGCTGGAATACAACATCCCAGCAAAAAGACGGAGGTACTTGATGGAAATTTAAATATTCCCACAAAGAAACGGCATGACGGCGAAGGGCCTACTAACTATAAGCGCCACACTACTGAAGCAGGTGGCATGTCTATGTTGAATGGGATAATATTATACTCTAAAAGAAAAAAAGGGGGGACCGTCTATAATACCATCATACTGTGCGTGGTCGATGGATGGTCTGGTGTGGTTTGCTCCTTCTTTCCTATCAACCATCTATCGTCCTTATTTCCCCTCCTTTCGGGTGTTTGTAACCCTCTCGTAATATCTCTAATATTCGCCACTTATAAGAATTTACTGTGTTGCAAGTGCCGTAAAACTTTTACTAAAACTAAAAACGACCATACTCGTTTTGTTTGTCGCTCGCAGTGTCTGACTAAAGGCAGTTTCCTTAGCTAACATTGCAGATGCAATTCATGTTACTCATGTAAACTGTCTCATGGAAGTTCCATGTTCGAATCCAGGTGGGTTCCGATTTTATGTTCAGTCGTCCTGGAATTTTCCGTCTTAGATTGATTTCTTGAAGAAGAAGAAGAAAAAGAAGAAGAAGAAGAAGAAGAAGAAGAAGAAGAAGAAGAAGAAGAAGAAGAA